TTCATGCTACAGAAACCGGGATAAGCTCCGGCCTGATGGGCCACTTGGCTCGTATGCAGACTTTACCTACGCGTCCTGTCTATGAAATCTTCGTAAAAATGACCGGAAGATTTTCCGYGATCTTTCTTGTTCAATTGGGAACTAGCCAGACCTCTGCGAACGTTGGTAGGTCAGCTCGTTGCTATGGTGACTAGTTAAGAATGAATTGATATTTACTTGCTAAGTTCTGAGTTAGCTAGGTTCTATCTATCTATCAATTAAATAATGTCAAAGACAACACTAAACGAAAATACGCAATTAGCCGTTGTGGCTCCTCCTACAAACCGATAAGTGGCCTTTAGCCATTATATCGTAAGAACAAGCAGTACGGTTGCTAAAAGTCGTAAACAACTGTGAAGTGCGAATGTTCACTTAATGAAAGAAAGACAAAAACAAAAACAGGTGAAGGAAAGAGACTTAAATCGGCGTCAATATAGGGAAATCTATTAATTGGAGGAGCTCGGGGCCTGGGCCAAGTTCAAATATCACATTTCATGTGCCGATATCTTGTTCCCATCTGAGCTAATCAAAACCATTGCAGTAAGTTTGATGGCTGATTCAGACGGCCTAGCTGTAAATGCGCCAAGCCTAATTCGCGGTCGTGAGCAAAAGAAGAACAGGTTTGAAAAGGTTAAAATTCCCTTCTATTTGGCTTCACTTCAAATATAATAGTTGGTTTGGTAAACTAGTCACCAAGTCGCGACAGAAATGCTAGTCTCCACGTTTTATTTTCTTGCGAGATTTTCTACTGTGTTGAGTTGTGAGGAAGACGGAGGCAAAACAAACATTTCCCACCAAGATATGAAAAAAGAGTACTGATTCTTGTGGAAATGGTGTTTTTGAGAGATAATTTGAAGGCCGTTTGTGGCATAATTTCACGACAGTGCTATTACAATGAAAATACAGTAACATAATTTGTGCATTCTATTCGGCACATGTGGAGTTTGACTTCTAAATCAACTATCAAACTTCCTTTCGAAAATT